AAAGGTTTTGAGTTTTATGGATAGATTTAATGGGACGCCCATGCAATTAAGGATGCTTTGGGGGTATGGATGCGCATGGGTGTCATATGCGCCGACTCAACAGCCACGGTTACCGCAACATATTTTTGTTGACTTAGTTACCATACCACAAACCACATAACTTATTAGGAAGCCCCTTATTGTCAGGACACCTGCACAGAAACTGGACATGCGAATATGTTGAGGCCTCACGAGGTGTATACGTCTCCCATCGTCGGGCCGATCGGAACGCATTGCGTCTAAATTAATCGTCATTTTAAGCGAAGATGTAAGTCCGAGGAGGTGATTGAGAAGAAGACGACTTGATCGCTGGAACAGTGCACTTATTAGCCTGACGTTTCGAGATCTGTCACGGATTTGTCATCAGAGACTAATCACAGAAGAGTAGCGGACTCGTCGCTGCTACTGCTCTCTGAGTAAGTCTCTGCTGACGAATCCGCGACTGATTTCGAAACATCAGACTAATAAAAGTATTGTGAGAGTGGTGTCCGTCCTTTTGAGACTCACACTGTAGACACCATGGGAGAATCATTGTCCTCCTGGAGGCTAGGATATTCAAGCCGCAAACATGTCGACCACCATCTCATGATATTCACCTGAAACTTGATTTGATTAAATTCTGACTACTCCTGCCCATCGTTTGTCGCCAGGAGAACAGCTCAAAGCACAGAGTCTGTTGAGCTTATCGAGTATGCGTCTCGCTATGCGTTGCTAGGGCAGTCAGCTGACAAGGTAATTGACTTGCAGTGGCATTTAGCCTAATTGTACGTGGTGAGGGCTGAAATTATATTGAACCATTAAGAGCGCAATCGTGCAGCGATATCATTAGAGTATTTTCCCCGACAGACAACAGACACAGCCACTTGAGCATCTTCCAGCATCAAAAAAGTTTTGTGTTCTAGGGGTAGCTCTAGTTGGACGCCCACGCAATAAAGGATGCGTTAAGCTGAGGATACGCATGGCGGTCAAATGCGCCGACCCGAAAACCACGTGCACCGTAACGGATTTTTGTTAACCTAGTTACCATGCCGCAAACTACGTAATTAATTGGGGAGCCTCTCGTTTTCCCACGATGGTTCTATTCTTGTGTCCTTTTATTCTCGATTGTGTGATTCTTTTCAAAGGTCTGTTTTAGATTTCTTTCTTCAGTCCTCATTTTTGACAGCACTGCGTATTCAAACACACAGAACATGGGTTTAAACTTGCTTCCTTTTTATAAGCAGGCCGAAAGTCCTTACTTAGGAGACTTTATGCAGGATAGAGACCTGAAGTGTACTTCTCAAATTTCCTTCAGGTGGGTAAGGTTTTAAGTTGTCATCTAAAATGAAATGTAATTGAAATGAAACTTAGACTTCGTTATCGGGTAGGTAACCGTGCCTTTTTTGCGTATTGTACGGTCCGCGTTTGAGACCATGGAAAAGGATCCGTTTTCATTTTAATTCAAATTAAGTCTTTGGGTACACTGATAAACAGAGTAAGACAAGTATGAGGTAGTAACATGCGAACATCGAGAGGCTGCAGGAATTTAATTATGTGTAAAATAAATACCTATGTGAAAGAGCTTGATGAAGGAGAATCGGTTTTGACGCAGGTGGAGACCTCAGTAGTGGTAACACTACTTTCCGAGCGCACTAGTCTTAAGTTGAACACGGTTATACTTTCCCCACTCACTACAGGTGGTATTCTAGCGCCGTCCACCACTCAAGTTCCACCTGCAAACCGTCACGTGATGAACGATCTTGTTCTGTCATTGGGGTAGCCAATCACAGGTGTCGTGAACTGTCATTGGCCAATCAGTTGATCAAGCCGCTACGGACTCATTCTCGCACGACGTTCACACATTCACGCCACGTCACGCTAACAAACAAAGGCGCACGCGGGCCTCGACCCCCAAGCGCGTCCGGGCTTCAGACCACTACGGTGTTTCTGTTTACGACAAATCACTCTTAATGGTCTTACCCCTTCTCACCCTATGCAGACCTAGGCGTACAAATTACAGTACTCTGAGCACACGCATAGCTTAGGCCCAACAGTGTCCAATTATTTTCCTGGAAAATAAATATTCTTCTATCATACGTTTAATGATTGTAATTAGCTCATAAGCTTTGTCACACGCAAAAATAGAAACTGTAAAAAACCTATATATCTCTGTCGGCTGTCTCGGTAACTTCTTAATGTCGACTACTGTTAATTATGAGCTACATATGTTCATATTAAGAGGAGAGTATTAAAACGTAGGCATCAAGTTCGTAGTTGACACTAAAGGCCGCTGTCCTTAATTATACATTATTTTTCCAAAGCACATTTCTGAAATGCATGTATGTAGTCGCCGCTAGCGCCACTTGGAACCCATGATCAGCCAGACGTGAATGTCCGCCGCATGCTGACTCATCGGGACCCACTGCTGATGATAACGTGTCCCTCCGACAATGGCTTGACATCAATCCGTCCAGTGAGATTCTCGCGTTAATAGACTGGCCTCATTTAGTAGGCTGGTGTCAATCCCTGTGGACAAAGACGACAATGTGGTGTCCGTCCCCAGGCATCACTTCGGGCCATGCCACTCTATAGGAAGGACATGTGTTACCCTGGCAGTCAGAATTTCCTCCTTACTATTCTCCTTTCCGTCTGTACAGAATACAATCTTTCTACTTTTTGGCTTTCCTATGGCCTCCCTCTTCTCCTAAGGAACCGGGCCTGGAAATTTGCAGCCGTTCGGGTTAACCTTAGGAGGTTTAACACCTATGCCACATGTACATAGCTCTGGATAAGGTAATGACCCATCTTCAAACTGTGGCGGACGATTCCAGCATGTTGAGAATAGTTGGCGAGAACGTTGTTCGCATTCGTGAATGCGTATAGCGCTTCTAGACTACTTGACGAAACAATTTCAGCTATTAAATGCGGGTTATAACATTGAGGTGAAACGTGATATTCTAAAAAGCTCTACAGCTCTCCTATGGAAAAATCTTTAATACAAGATTACAGTATTTTTACTGTTGCAAAACACATGAGCACGTCTGGATTTCCTTTAGAAGGGGGCCTTCCCTGGATAAATGAGAACGTCTTTTTTTGACGTGTTGTGAAGCGACGCAGACAAGCTATGTTTTCAATGCCAATTACACATACACAGTCCCAATTGACATTAACAGCTTACACTTTGTCCGACCACAGAAATGCAGACCAGACATTGTTTAAAGTAAGCCGTTGTTGACATTTCCTTTTGTCTTAAGGCGGAGTGGAGTACCTGACCAGAATAAAACACACAAAAGGACATAATACAAGCATGCTGGATGAATAGGAAAAAAAGCAAGCATGTTGTGTATTCCATAATTATCTGCATGCATGTCATACATGCAGTCAATAGGGCGGGCAACAAGTTATCATTTAAAGGGTAGGAGATTTCGAATATTCATCTTCAGACTGGTACAAAAACATGAGGGACGGTAGAATTAACAAACGATTAAGCAAACAATCAGTCATAAGAAGGGGAAGAGGGGAAAAATGTTG